CGGCGCGGCGGGAAGCAGAGGCCGGAGGCGGGGCGTCTTCTCCAAAATGATCTTTCTTCAGATTTACAGTTTTACAGTTTAACATGTATGTGCACAAACCTGTACAGACCTCTCTAAAAAGCCAAATGGTTGTTAATAGAGATGGGTATTGACAGTTATTAAATATTATAAAAATAAATCCATTTCACTAGAGCCTTTTTGTCCAGCTGACACGCTCATGCGGGGGGCAAGGCAGAGAGCGGGGCGCTGCGCTGCGCTCGGGTAAGGCAAGAAGCAGCTTCATAGAAGTATACATCGGAGTGGACCGGAATTCTGGATATAAGCATTTGTAATCTTTTCATGCTACAAAAACATTCCAAGAATCAAAGTAGGTGTTAGAACTATTAGCTTTACATCATTTAACTATTGCTTTATCCTACAGTTGACCCAAGTCACAGGTGTTTTCAATGAGAGCAAGCTACAGTGTAGGACCAAATTATTGTAGCATTTAAAAGCAAGAGGCCTAACAAACAAATAGCTAAGTTTACTTCTAACAAGAGGACGCGCGGGGAGCAGTGAGGAGGCCGAGGGCTACGTTTAGGAGGGACCGGAGCAGGCATTTGTGCTCTGCCATTACAGAGACCAACTACTTCATCACACACAATGGTCTGCAATGGGGGAGCTGATGAAGTCTTTTATAACAGTTCTACTTTAGAAGAGGAGATTTTGAGGAACATGTTTTGATTTTTTTTTTTCCAAATTTCAATTCTTTGAAGTAAAAGATTAAGACTTTTTTTTGCTGAGAATTTATTTTTAATTATTCAAAGGGGATAAATACCGCTAATTAGTTGTTTTTCTGACTAATTAGAGCATATGCTTCCTGTCATCATTAATCTGGCTACTAGTAATTATATAAACACCTGATGTTTGACAAACCTGCTCCCAATTTGCAATATGACATTGCCTCAAAGACACAGAACAAGAAGCTATACAGTGACTATAGTTTTTCACTTCCACTAACATTTTTAGTAAAAGTTTACGAATTTATTCCCCTTCTCCAATTAACATCTGGCTTCTTTTTAGTATATACTATTGTCCGGGCTCCCGCATGCTCCCAAAGACTCCCAGGCCCCTTCTTTTACCTTGCACATTTTAGAGATGAGTTCCACCAACTACATGTACGTTGATATCACCTTGCATTTCTTATATCCAATGTACTGCACAGCAACAAGCTGTTAAAGAATTGAGTCCACTTATGTGCAGAAAAAGAGCTAAATCAAGGGGGAGGGGGGTAAAGGGAGGTCAAAGCTCTAATTTAAATCATTTTTGTCTAATAAGCATCAAGGGAAATACAAAATGTAACTGTTCTGACACCGGCTCAGCAATAAAGCCAGAGCCATCTCCAACTGTTTTCTTGCCCTACAAAACAGTGGCCCTAGTATGAAAGTCACTCTTTACAAAAACCTCTCTCTCACCATCTAGAGGCCCAAAGGGTGTCAAGCATTTATTATAATTTCTTTCTAGATGATTTCTCTACATAGCTATATTAACATATACTAACACAGTTATTTTATATACAGTCAGTGTTTAATCAAGTTATAAAAGTGACATTCTTTTAAAAGGTGCAAAGTTATCAATGTTTTGACAAGTAAACTACTGAGGTGAGATCTGCATTTAAAATAAAACTTTTCCACTTACAGAGTACTCAAAATGTTGTATTATGTATCCCATGGCCAACCAAACACATACTTTTCATCAGGGATGGGAAAATATTTTGTTAATATTTTCAATGAAGAACAATAAACTCAATAGAGAATAGACTTGGAACCAAGATAGAATTTTTACCAAAAAAACCAATACGCTAAAGGAAGGGGAGAAAGCAATAAAGAAAAAAACTAAATTAAGGGTTCTTATTTTAGAAATCTTTTCAATTTCTTTTTAAATCCATGAAAATGCTATGATGCAGTTTGGATTAAACATGCTGCTACTATCTTCTCATGCTTTTGCATAATGAAAAGGGGTTGGAGCTTCTGAATTTCAATCATGACTTAAGAGTTGCTAACCTGTATATTGCTTCTTAATAGAGTATTTCTTTAGCAATTGCTATATCATCTTTCCAGTCTGGCAATTTCAATTTACACATAATGTTTTAAAAACAGTAATACAGCACATTGGACAAGTTTAAACAAGTTTTAAACTCCCAAGAGATCTTAAACCAGCTTAATACGTGAATCCTTTCAAGCTTCACCTACACAAATGGTTCTCTACTCTGCTTGCAGAGAGTTTAGAAAGGGGGACACAGTGTCTGTAACAGCCTTTAAAGTTACATTTTTACAAAAAGGCTGGAAGTATTTTTGTGCTGTTCCATAACGATCAGCAATGTCTTTTAAAAGCCAAGTGTCTATATACTTATTAGGAACAAATATTAATTTGTCTGCACCATATTACCAAGTCTAGGTTGTACGTCTGAAGGACTTGCAATCAGCATAAAGTTCAATTTCCAGCAACGGAATGAAGTTGTCATTAGCACATTTCAGATTATGCCCTTATTTATCGCCTTGAATTTTTACAGTTTCTCTTGCTTATTTTTCCAATGCAGAAGGCAACTAAATCCCAACAAATTTAAAGTTAATCTGATCTATTTAAATGCATGATTTCATATAAAAATGTTTCACCAGGGTGATGTTTATTTTCTTTTGGTTTTTAGTCCTCTATCTGGGAGGAGCAATTCTAAACCCAGACTTTGGATGAAGCCACAAGTGTGTCTGGGCAATCAGATCAATTCTTCCACTAATTCTTCAAGTTGCTGGTGCTTGACACCAGCAATGTCTGAATTACTGTAAAGTCAGCAGCACTGTAGCCACTCTGCAATTTTGCCTGGATACTAAATCAAAAGTTTCCATAAAAGAACAAGCAACATTAAAACTAGTTTAAATGGCTTGACCTAATTTGTCAAGCCTCCTTCCCCCTCTCAGAAGCGTACCACTTTGAAGGAAAATGAATGCATCAGTACAGTAATTGATCTGTCGTTCAAATAGTTCCAGTATTATATGGCTTTGATATTTCAGTATGGAACAAAAAAAATTCTACTTGTATGACAGCACGTGCTCACAGAAAATTTGAAAACTTGTAATAGGTATAACTATGCCACAGCTTTAAATTGGTTCTGCTTTTTCACAACGTACAGAACAGACATGACGTACTAATGAAAAACATGCAAACAAAAACATCCCCAAAATATGAACCTGTGTAGATATGTCCACTAAGTGCTTCCAAATAAAAGTTTAGTCTAGAAGCATATATAGTGCCAAAGCTGCCAAAAGTAGTGCTGGAGATCTAAACCTCCAAGTGGTAGCAAGCAATATATTTTACATTGTAACCATCTCAACATTCCTGCAGCTGTTTCTGAAGCTTCCTGTATTTTAAGAAGAGCGTTCTACTTCAGAAGAAGTAGACATTTTTTAAATGCACCTTTCCCTTCTCCTATGTTTTATGCAATTTTATCACAGGTACACAGTTTAATGCTCACAGTGTCCAAAGATTGTGAAGACTCTGTAACAGACAAGTACAGTTTGAGAAGCTAACATTTTGTGTTTTGTTCCCCCAAGGCTTTGAAGTATTAAACCGTATTGAGAGGGAGGGACCAGGAGCTCCAATCCCCATGTAGTGCTACATACCATACAAAAATTTCATATATCTCTCTTCATGGGGAATAGCAACAGTATTAGCTGTGATCATGGTTGTACCATACTAATTTTTCATCTCTGTTCCCAGTTCCCAAAAACGCAGATTCCTCATTGCTGTACTTAGTAACAAGGATATTATCTCTACTTGTTTTATTAAAGTTACATAGTTTTCAAGGCTGTTACAAGCTCTACCAGTTACACCATACCTTCCTGACAAAAAAAAAAAAACTAGGAAAAAAAAGAAGAACCAAAGGTCCCTTTAAAAATTAGTGAAAACATGATGATTTTCAGCTTTATGGAAAGATTGCAACAGTATTTAAATATTTGGCAATCCAAAGTTAGTGATAATTAAATCCTCGATTGTTGAGTGATAGAATTTTTGTTAAAATTTACTTACAAAAGCTGGTTTTTGCTATTAACAAAACCAGAGTAACTGGCTTAGAATGATATCTGTTAACTAGATGTCCAGATGAGATGAGCAATTGGTTCAGTAATTTCAATATATGTCTGGACAGTCCGAGAAATTTCTATCGAAATAGCCACCTGAGTACAGCCAATCTGGAGTCCCAGTGTATGGGTTAGACTCTTGATGAAACCATCTGTAAAGGAAAAAAGGGGAAAAAATAGTTAAAAGAGGGAACAGTTAGTAAAAGGAAAAAAAGTTTGCTCCTTTCACAAGGCATTGTAAAGACACACTGATTTTTCTTAGCAGGAAAAAAAAAAAAAACACAACACTTATCTCCAGAGATATTCAGAACATTAAAAGTATCGCATTAAACTTCCTATGTAACGGTTACCACCCTCTGATTCATCCTTTTTTTCAATGTAAAAATCAAGAAGGGATATGAAATGGATTTTTAAATTGCTGTCCAATTCTAAATATAAAGAATAAATTTTTGCTCATATATTGACCATATATGCTATTTTTTCCTTAAAAAGAAGGTCAAATCAGTTCCAGGATCCTTTTTGTAAACCTGTCCAAACAAGAAAAACAGATTTGTTCTATGGAGCTGTACTTCGCATAGAACATCAAAAAACGCTCACTTTTTGGCCACATTGACTGAAATCAGTTTTATGTTCTCTAGAAGAGATTTTCAACGGCATTAACTGGAATGAGTTTGTAGCGGTTCCCTCCAGCCTTTGGGAATAAAATGCTTTCTCTTCTGAATTTCATGAGATCATGGGAACATCCAAAAAGTTTTTGCCTTTGAAGGAGGCACCTGCAGAAACTGGCCTTGCGTGTACAACACTTGACTGCATAGCATTGGCATCTGTACAAGGAACTGGTTCCAGAAGCAGGAGCCAAATCACACATTACTCCATGATGCAGTCTATGATTGAGAAGTCACTTAAATGTGCAATTCAAAAGCAATTCCAGATGTGACAAAGTCAAAAGTCCTGACAGTCTGAAAGTAAAAAAAGCCCTGGAGGGCCTCAACATGCTACTCAATTGTCAAAAGCTGGGCAGGAAATGGTTAGAGATGAAACTTAAGATTTTATTCACTAACCTAACAGGATGACCTCTCGGGGGGGGGGGGGGGGGGGGGGGGACTCCGGTAGTTTTATCCAGTATTGTCACAGTAGTTAATTATGACAGGTTTCAGTGTTTACTGTTAAGATAATTTCTCCAGGACAAAATTATCAGCAATTTGGGCTTCCAGTTACATTATTTAAACATTGACCCAGCTAATGCTTTAAGTGACACTACAAATTGTGCTGTCATGCAGGAAATCAAGCACACATTGTCTTGAATAAAAACATTTCAGGCAGTAAAACCAAACCACTCCAAGCATTAAACGCATGCCCAACTTCTTCCCCCCGTACCGTGTCTGCCACTCCACTTCATCTTTTGCACGTTCCTTGCGAGCGGCTCTTTGTTTCTCTTCTAGTCTCTCTTTTTCCTTGCTCGCCAGATCTAACAAAAAAATTTCAATAGGAACTGGTTAGTTAGCAAAATAAAAACAAAAAAAGCAGAAAACATGGAAAAGACTGCAGAGAAATAGAATACGATTCACTTAAATGAGAAAGCATTTGATAGCCTCAGTCAACAACAGTACAATCGTCATTTCAGAAGGGTTGTTGCTATAAACGCAGAGCAGAACCGAAAATTTTTGTGTTTTACCTCTCAGAAACACTGAACCCAAACGGTGGGAGAAAAAGACAGAACATAACAAACAGTATATTTTCACTATTTCACCAAGTGCTTTTCCTGACAAACTCCAGAGCAACAGAGCACGACTGTTCTCCACGTGTTTTTCCAGCTAAATTCTAGAGCAACAAAGCATGTCTGCCAGTTTCCCCAGTTAACAAACATGCAATCGCACCATAATGTAGGACAGCAGTCTTTGGGATGCATCTTGCAAACATACGTGCTCTCCCATACTTCTCAGGGAGAAACAGACATTATATATAGTTCCGAAGTACGTTCATTAGAAGAGGATGGAAAAAAAGAGTTAAGGCAACTTTGGAAATGAAAAACTAAACACTGTGTTCCTATATCAAACCACTTCCTCTCAATCATCCCTCTCAAACTTACTAATACAAAAATATTTCCTCCAGCAAAAACATACCCATGTTTCCATCTTCCATGTTTCTGATATCTGGACGCAGCCGACAGTCAGTAGGAGCTAATATTGCTTCCATACCCTTTTCTAGCTCATTGAGACTCACAGCAAAACTGGTGAAATTGTACATCTTAAAAGCAAATTACAGATAACATACAAGTTATTTTGGCAAAGTGGCATTCCCTACACCAAATTGATACACCAAAACTTCCAAGAGCAATCACAAAGTCAAAACTGCTCCTCCCGACCACCCCAAAAGCAGGGTTTGGCTCATACCAAAAAGTGCTCTTTTGGGGGGCGGGGAGGAGAGGGAAATCACACCTTTAATTTTTTAAGCAGTCTTTGCTTCAGAAGACCATGATAAATGTCAGGCATGGAGAAAAATCTAGTATCACGGCTTTTATAAAAGAAAAGCCTAAAACTAAAAGACAAGTAATTTTTCCTCAAGAAAGCATACATTCTTTGATTTCAGAAGACAATACTCTGGACTTCAAGACAACAGTCAAATCTATATATATATATACACACACACACACATATGTATGTATGTATCCATATATACACAAACCCCCCATTCCTCGGGGTTTCCAAAAATCTTGTTGCAACTGTTAACACCCAGCTGTCCAGTTACTGCCCCTTTTTCTCCCCTTTTTTTCTTTTTAAAGCTAGTCTTCCAACAGCAGGGTCAACAGAGAGGACCACGCGTCTATACTTTAGCCACGCTAACGCAAAGATCTGGCGGACAGTTAAACTGAAGACACTGGGTTCTACGCTGAAGCAGCTGCAGTCTGAGCATACGTTCTTTCTGCCAACTTTGACAAAGGAGTAATACTTTCAGCCTAGGGACTAAGCAGACAGCTTGTCATAGCCTAATTTTGCTGCTGCAACAAGAATTGCCAGAGCCTGTCAATAAGCAGACACATCAACAGGGTTTCCCTTGAACATTACTCATGTCCCCTTGGAAAAGTCACTTGTCATAGGAACACTCAAATTGATTGGAACAGTTACCTGTGACGAGTTTGGTGGCCTACAATTTATTCTCCAAAGCAATTTACTGCCTGGTATGAACTGCACGGTGTCTTGAACCTCTGGCATATCATCAGCCTCATCATTTTCAGATTTAATAACATCTTCACTCTGAAACAGAGATAACATTTGGCAGGGGAAAAGGGAAATCGTCTAGAGTTCTATAGAGTGACTGCTGAAGAATCTGTTCAAATCAAGATTTTAAACACTCTCCAGTGTTTCTGCCTTACCCATTATGTTTGCTTTTCCTCACACTGTATACTATTCCTTTCATTTTCAGCTTGATGTCTTATTCCTACTACCACTGAATAGTCCCCTACCACCTACCTACAACTTCACTTTCCATTTTTAAAAAAGTAGTAAGTTAATGTCTTTAAGGAATCTTCTCTCTAACTTGCTTTCTGCCCCATCCCATAGCTTAATTTTGTCTACATAGCTATTACTTCTTCAGGTCGGAATGAGTCAAAACTGTAATTTAAACTAATTCCCACAATGGCATAGGAAAGATAACGAATAGGGCCATGTCTGCCCTTGGTTAATGCTTCATTACTTGCAAAAGATTTTGATGCTTGATTAAAAAAAACAGATATGCTCATGCCCATCTTCCAAACTTTGGTTTCCTATGATCCAAATTCTAGTAACTATTACCACTGCCAGTTTTCTCACTATGAAGGCTTTGTACTTAAGTTTATAGATGGTGTATTTTTCTAAGTTCCTTTGTTCTCAGAGTCAGTGATGCACTGTTATTATATACATAAAATCAAGAGAGGTATTCTTCGAGAGGCTGCTCTCAGTAGACCAAGCCACAACAGCCCTATTCCAGGCTTCCTTTACTGGTACACAATAAAAGGACAACAAGAGAGTTCATTTACAGCTCATCTAGGAGTGCAGTGATCTCTTATGCTCTCAAGCACCGAAAGGTCTTCCCTTGTTATCCCCACAGCCCAGTTCAGACATTCTTCTAAGAAGCTGCAAAAGCCTTTAAGCCCGGCACTGGAAAAGACAATAATGTCCTTGTAACTTAGATTTCTACAGTCTGCTCAGCTGCTGACATCTGAATAAAAATTTCACTATGGCTTCCAGCTTCCAAGTGAATCTTCACAGAATCATCTGACATTAAAACAGTGTGATATTCAACCAATGGTCTTACATCTACTTACTTTTATTCTTTTCTTCTGTCACTTCACATTCCTACTATTCTTAGTGCCTCCAGGGAGGCACAATACCTACCTAGTTTAGAGAATTCAGTGTTTAAGAACACCTGACCAATTCTATCTCTTTCAACCTAACACAAGTCACCTTTCTGCATCAGGACTCACATCCGAACTAAGGTTATACAGATTCATGCATGCACTGCCTAAGTTGCACTAAGAACTCAATGACTACTCTTAAAAGGAAGAAATATTTCCCAGGGTTCTGGCCAGCATCCCCAGGCTCAGTGCTACAAATAAAGTAAGTTGGATGAATGTCAACAGTAGCAGTTTCACAGAGGTGGACTATAGTTTCTGAGTTTTACGTGGGAGCAAAAATGGGATGAAGAGTATTACTTTAGCATCTTGCTATTTTATTTTTATTCCACTGCTCGTTCCATGGACCTCGATCACTTTTGTGATGGCTTTATCTATTTTAGGAAGAAAATACAATCTGGTTTTGCAACACTTGGAGGAAAGAGACTGCACAGAGCACAAACACAGCAGAAAATAACATCTTCCTCATAAAGCCAAGAGGCAGGCAGGCAGGGCACGGCACATACAAGTTAAGCATTCTGCCTACACAGAAGCAGGCCAGACAACACAAGCTGTAGCACCAGCTGCTTTCTGATCTAGCTGAACAGCACAGACCACAGATCATCTGGCAGCTTCCCCAGCCTAGTGGAAAATACGTTTCCCACATATTTAGGTCCTGCTGCCAGTCTGATCTATAGGAGAACCTGACTATCTTAGGACATGGACCGCTAAATTGTAGATGTTGAGAGATTTCACCAGAAGAAACTACTTAAAACCACAACAACCAGAAGAGAAGTTTGGGGGAATAACATCCTAGTGAGACAATGTCAGAATTTTCCTCTCCCCCACCATTTTTTTTTCCCTCCTTTTCTCTTTCTGCCCCTTCTGACATAGCTCATTTTATTCAAAAACACCGTATTAAACAGACCCAGTTTTACATGCTGGAAAATAGTTCCATATAGTTAAGATTCTAATTTCAAATCATTTGGTTTGAGTATTCATTTTTAAAAAGACCCTTTCAGACTACTTTCTAACAGTAAACCAGATGTTGACATGGATAGTTCCCCATCTAAATATAAATTCAACAGGAAGGAAGGAAGGAAGGAAGGAAGGAATTGATTTTCCATAAGCTGAACAGAATCTCACTATTTAAAAAAAGTCAAAATAAAAATCTACACCATGACAGAAGCCAGAGCCAAAAAACAAGGCCTGTTGCTGCTCTAGATTATTCTTGTGTAAATGCTTCCCACCCTCACGTTGGAGCCTCTTGAACTGAAGCTACTCATTCTTAACTTTAACCTGTCATTTTCATTTTGAGCAAGCAGCCAGGGTCTGCAAGACTTCTGTTGATATCAGGAAACCCAGCAGTCCTCTGTTGGATCTTCCAACATTTTGCGTTTTCTGTAAAGCACCAGGCTATTGCAGTAACTTAACTGAAGAAGACAGTCTGCTTACATATGACAAAAAACAAACCAAAAAAAAAAAAAAACCACACACACACATTTCCAGACTCTCTTGTTGTCAAGCCTCTCTACATGAGAGATTCTAAATGGTCATGTCAACAAAACACTTAACTGTATTTAAAAAAAAAAAAAAAACACGCACATACATATAGTTATATTCTTTCTTTAGAATGCCCAGATCCTGTATTTTCATGTCCAGAGTTGGCAGCAGAGCCACTTTCCTTATTCGAGGACAGGACAACATCGGCTTGAGAGCTGATATTCGATGACTTCTCTTTGACAAATCCATCGGCAAACACTATTTCTGTGAGCTCCCTAAACACCAGCAGCTCTCGCTGAAGTCAACATAAGTTCAAAGTGCACTGCCATCTCATGGGTCTAACACTGCACCCCCCCCCCCCCAAAATACAGGCTGTTTTAACCCTCCATTCACTACCACCTGCCCACTTTTGTAAAGATGATATTGTTACAAGGAGGTATTTTCCTTTCATTTCTCGTATTTCCATGTCTGTTCTTCCTAAAGAATTCCGACATCTTACCGGTTTCGATTTCTTCTGCTCGCCACCTCTCTTTTCATTCTTTTTGTAAGCTTCATATGTGGTGGGATCAGTGCACCATAAGCATTCTGTCCACTTGCCATAGATCACACACAGCTTCTTTTTGCTGCAGAGCAAGCAAAGGAGAGACTCAGCTTTTGCTTCTTCACTTCTATGAAGCCTTCTAAGCTAAGTCATGCAAATTCTCACCCTTATTAAATACACAGTTTCCTACTTTGTTGTATTTTATTTTTGCTTGCAGATTTCTTAGAAGCCAGAAATTTTGACTAATGCCAGGAAAAGGGTTCAGCTTATTCCAGTCTTGCTGGTATTCAGTCCCGCATAACATATCTTCGTTATTTAGTCACATGCTTTTTTGTCAATTAAAATATGAGTGTGGGTGCAGAGAAGCCAACAGTTTAAGACAGAGAGACCCAGAGCCACATGACAGGTTTCGCTTTCATTAAAAATTTTTAACTAAAGTATTCCCATTATTTTAAACTACAGATTAGAACCATAAATATATAACAATAAAAATACATCAGTTGCAACTACTCTGCATTTTTCCTGGATGCCTTTATTTCAAACCACTGAACTTCGGAGTTTTCCCAATACAGCTTGAAAAGTCAGTGATAAAGCCTTAGAATCAAGGGATTTAATACTGACACAGAGAGCAGAAATGGTTACAATCTACACTGCTGGGAACTTTGCAGCCACACTGGTTGTGGTCAGCCTGCCAGCGCTAAAGAAATGCTATATGCTGTATGTTCAGAAACAGAGAGGCAAAGAGTTCTATCACTTACTTTTTGTCCTGAATGTATCCCTCTACTTTGTGAAGCTCCTTCCCAAACAGTCCACATGGTTTAAAATTAAGGACACACTTATCTCCAGTACTGTAAGAGAAGAATACATCTGAAGAAAAACAAAAAAACAACAAAAAAAAACCCAAAACAAAAAACACAAACACACACACCCAAAGACTTTGGACCTAACAAAGAACTCCCTGTGCATCTGACAAAGCAAGCCCCTACATACACTAGTAAGCTAGTAAGTTTACTTCGTTTTCTTTATCCACACTTCATTTAGTTTCTTTCACATTTTTTGCAAATTGTTATTTTGAGTGGGGGGGGGGGGGAAGGAGACGGAAGTCGAGTTATTTACTTATTTTTCTTTAACTATAGTTTACTATCTGACCAGAGCATTAAAAGGCACACAAATTTAAAAATCACACAAAATTAAAAGAGACCAGTAAGAAAATAATGTGGACATAAGGATACCATAAGCCATATTTTCAGTTGGAAAACTGAAAATATGAATAGACTTGAGTAAATTTTAGATATACATGAAATTTAGAAGACATAGGGAATAAAATGAATGCAGTCTTGCAGACTGCTTAATCCACACCACTACTGCTCCATATTTCAGACTAGTATCTATTCACAACTAATTTTTAGCAGAATACACAAAACTTTCATGAATGACCTACATAGGAAAACCAAGCTAAGTGCATTCAAAAGTTACCTCTAAATTGCACTTGTCAGAAATTCTGAACTAAGACTTTACAAACATACAACAGTATGGTATTTCAGCATCTTCCTTACATCGAGTTGTACGCATATGTAGATAACCTCTCCCAGTGAGGTATCTGGCCAAGTTTCTGTCAGGCATATAGCATACAAAGACCGTCCTGGGTCTTTTATGGGAATATGTCTGAAAGAATTGTAGATCTGACATTGTAAGAAGTATCAAAACAGCAGCCCTGTTGTGTTAAAGCTCCCATTTATTGACAGAAAAACAGGGGCAGAAGTAGCATAGTGTTCACAAAAGTCTCTCCTTCATCTTTACAGGAAGTCATTTTCTCCTTTATCTTATATAAGCTAAAAGCTTATAATAATAAAAGCACACAGGCAGTTAGTAGAGCAACTGACATGCTCTAAGTTCACATTATTCTACTTTGCTGTCATTTTTTGTGTTGTACCCTTAATTTAAAACATCCTCTTTTATGAAAACTACTTTGCAAGCCTCCAAAAATTATTCCCATTTAATTATTTTGGGGTTAAATGAAGTTTCAATTCTCTGTCAGTAGGGCTGAATTTGAATAGGTACTCACAAAAACATAAGTCTTTGTATCCCATACACCATCTAGCCTATTGCATTTTCATTCCTACCATTATAACATTAAGCCCAGTCCAATGAATAGTATACATTGGGTTTTTTTTCTTCTGACCAAAGACTTTAGACCTAAAAATCAAAGCTCCCTGTGTTTCTGATAAAAAGTAAGATTCTCTGCTTTGTAACAAACATGAAAATGACCATGCACCAGTCCCTACAAGCCAACCCCTGGTTTCACAATTAATATTACCTGTGATTTACAATTTCTACCATTCCATACTGCTCTAGCCACAGTTTACCAATAATTACATTATGTACACAGCAGGTTGGATTTGTCCATGTGTAAGCTTCATTGTGTCTGTAAAGAAAACAAAAATAAATCCATTTCTGGAACTTGAGAGAGAACATAAGTCTATTTTCAATTCTATTAGGGCAGGGCAAAATACTTAGCACTCCTATGAACAGCAGGCAGTTAACTTTAAAACAGAAAAGCAGAAGGCTTTTCTTCATAAACCAAGTGTGTAATATATAAACATCAGAGCAAGTCAATAAAGCCATATCCCCCTTATTTTTCTTGCTTCTTATAGAGTTGAAATAGCAAGTTTTAGAGTTGCTGCACTTTTGATTACAAAGTCCAGTCTAACATAAGCAATAATACAGGAATTCACCTTTTTCATTTGCACCTCTGAAGTTGTATGTGATATAACATAATGCTCACATGAGAAGTGGACTGACAAAGTAACGCGTGATGTCTTCTATTCAACTACTGCAGCAGCTTTGCAAACTTCTTCCCACAAAGACCTTTATAATAAAACTACCTGCTAATCCAGAATGCTAATCCAGAATGCTAATCCAGAATGCTAATCCAGAATGCTAATCCAGAATGCTAATCCAGAATGCTAATCCAGAATGCTAATCCAGAATGCTAATCCAGAATGCTAATCCAGAGAGTACCTTTTCACGATAAGAAGGTAGATCAGCTTTCATGACTGAAAATGAGTATTTTCAGTTAGACTTCAACAGGGGAGGTTAGTCACTATTGAGGTTTGAAATGAAGACATCCCTCCTTATTAGTCAGACTAACCCACTTAAACAATTTCTTTATACAAACACTGGGTGGTAAAAGCTTTTGAACCTGGTGAGAATATGAGTCAGCAAACTTGACAAGGGCACCAAGCTTCTAACAGCAAGACTTTAAGTCTCAGGCAAGCTGTGGAAGGAATTAGTAAGAAAGCATACGGAGGGGGAAAAAATAAAAATGCAACTATTTCTCACAAATATGCCAAAAGTCCATCAGTATCTTAAGCCTGCTCCAGTGTCACTGAATGCAGTGGGGTTTTCCTTTTGTTTGTTTTATTCAAATAAACCTTCCGTCCAAGGCCTTTATTTCAACACAATCCAACTCGTTAACAAGTGTGTGGATTTTTTTTTTTTTTTAAATTAAGGGTTTGGGGGGGGGGTTATTTTTTTAATCAGTGTGACACCATGGTACTATATTCAGGCTTCATAAACATGAGATTTAAAAATCCAGTTTATTACTCAACTCAGTTCTTCCAAGATTTACTGAAAAGAAGTAAAGAAAGAGTCCTACAATTGAAGAATTCTCCACTTAGTTTTTTTAACATGTTTTAACATGTTCTAAAGTAAAAAAAGCTTTAGAAAGACGAGTTAAAAGATCCTACATCCTTAAAAGGAACTATTCTGCAAGCGGTCAAAACATTAAACAGTTGGATTCCTATCATCACTGGCTTGGCAGAGTCAAAGTCCTCTATTTTCACTCATTTTTCAATACGGATGAAAAAATGCTAAAGCTACCCAGTAAACAATCAAGATATCTTAGAAAAGTTTGCAAACTCAATTTTATCACCAAAAACATAGAAAACAAGCAGTGTCCTTTTTGTAACAAATGCCTTGTGCTACAGCTCCCATTTAGTATTCATGGAACACAAACATTAAATATCTCCAACCTGTCTGTGCTAATCCAGAATGCTAATCCAGAATGCTAATCCAGAATGCTAATCCAGAATGCTAATCCAGAATGCTAATCCAGAATGCTAATCCAGAATGCTAATCCAGAATGCTAATCCAGAATGCTAATCCAGAATGCTAATCCAGAATGCTAATCCAGAATGCTAATCCAGAATGCTAATCCAGAATGCTAATCCAGAATGCTAATCCAGAATGCTAATCCAGAATGCTAATCCAGAATGCTAATCCAGAATGCTAATCCAGAATGCTAATCCAGAATGCTAATCCAGAATGCTAATCCAGAATGCTAATCCAGAATGCTAATCCAGAATGCTAATCCAGAATGCTAATCCAGAATGCTAATCCAGAATGCTAATCCAGAATGCTAATCCAGAATGCTAATCCAGAATGCTAATCCAGAATGCTAATCCAGAATGCTAATCCAGAATGCTAATCCAGAATGCTAATCCAGAATGCTAATCCAGAATGCTAATCCAGAATGCTAATCCAGAATGCTAATCCAGAATGCTAATCCAGAATGCTAATCCAGAATGCTAATCCAGAATGCTAATCCAGAATGCTAATCCAGAATGCTAATCCAGAATGCTAATCCAGAATGCTAATCCAGAATGCTAATCCAGAATGCTAATCCAGAATGCTAATCCAGAGAGTACCTTTTCACGATAAGAAGGTAGATCAGCTTTCATGACTGAAAATGAGTATTTTCAGTTAGACTTCAACAGGGGAGGTTAGTCACTATTGAGGTTTGAAATGAAGACATCCCTCCTTATTAGTCAGACTAACCCACTTAAACAATTTCTTTATACAAACACTGGGTGGTAAAAGCTTTTGAACCTGGTGAGAATATGAGTCAGCAAACTTGACAAGGGCACCAAGCTTCTAACAGCAAGACTTTAAGTCTCAGGCAAGCTGTGGAAGGAATTAGTAAGAAAGCATACGGAGGGGGAAAAAATAAAAATGCAACTATTTCTCACAAATATGCCAAAAGTCCATCAGTATCTTAAGCCTGCTCCAGTGTCACTGAATGCAGTGGGGTTTTCCTTTTGTTTGTTTTATTCAAATAAACCTTCCGTCCAAGGCCTTTATTTCAACACAATCCAACTCGTTAACAAGTGTGTGGATTTTTTTTTTTTTTTTAAATTAAGGGTTTGGGGGGGGGGTTATTTTTTTAATCAGTGTGACACCATGGTACTATATTCAGGCTTCATAAACATGAGATTTAAAAATCCAGTTTATTACTCAACTCAGTTCTTCCAAGATTTACTGAAAAGAAGTAAAGAAAGAGTCCTACAATTGAAGAATTCTCCACTTAGTTTTTTTAACATGTTTTAACATGTTCTAAAGTAAAAAAAGCTTTAGAAAGACGAGTTAAAAGATCCTACATCCTTAAAAGGAACTATTCTGCAAGCGGTCAAAACATTAAACAGTTGGATTCCTATCATCACTGGCTTGGCAGAGTCAAAGTCCTCTATTTTCACTCATTTTTCAATACGGATGAAAAAATGCTAAAGCTACCCAGTAAACAATCAAGATATCTTAGAAAAGTTTGCAAACTCAATTTTATCACCAAAAACATAGAAAACAAGCAGTGTCCTTTTTGTAACAAATGCCTTGTGCTACAGCTCCCATTTAGTATTCATGGAACACAAACATTAAATATCTCCAACCTGTCTGTCATATTCCAGCACAGCGAAAAATAGATCATTGAAGTTTGACTATTTTCCTTGGCAAGCTGTCTTCAAGTATACTTTAGAACAACAACTGCTCTTCTACAGAAAAAAAACAAAAGCTTTATCACATCAGTCTTGGTTTAAGTTTTTATTCATGGACTACTTGATAGCAAAAGCTTTTTACAGCATAAAACTTAATACAAGGCACTCATGCCCAGTTCTGACAAATTGAGGCATTTTAGTATTTGTGCTAGAGGAAGAAGCGTGCTTTCTAATGTGTGTTTTGAAAATAGTCATGGTTAACACAAATGCAGCACTTAGGTGGAGTTTCAATTTTGCACCCTAAACAGTTACTTGCTACGAACTCAGGTCTGGAGTAGTTCTCAGACCTACTCAAATCAATAAAATGATAGGAATTACAAGATTAAGCAGTTCAAAATTTGAGTTCATCGCCTGCTACTAACTTGAAGCAAGCATTTAACAGAAATGCTGTTATCATTCACACTATTTAAATCTGTATCCTGTAATTTGATTAGGCACAACAGGAACTTTAATGGACTTCTGAATAAAGGCTCTCTCTCCGGTAACAGACTTTGATTTTTGTTAAGTCTGTATTCTATAGCAACATTCCTTCTACATTCAGAAAGGGTTTTCTCTATTTGCATCACCACTCTTATCTAAGATGAGTTCATATTTTTATAAGCCTAGGAAGATTAGATGCCAGCAGCTCAATGAATAAACTACACTTTCAAAAGAAACTACAGGAAAAGTCAGTGCTCTTTATGGCAGGCAAGTTGCCTCTTCAATGAAACCAAACATCGAGAAGTTTCATAAGAAGCAATTTCAGAATAACCTAAGTTAGGCTTGAGGAAAGCTCTTACAAAAGCACCTTTTAAGTGCTTAATTGCAGAATGCTTTTTCTGTGACTATTTACTTGGGCCTGTTTGTGACCTACTTGGGAAGAATAAAGAGTCTCAGTGCTACCAAGGCACCAAGGCACACACCAGGTTATAGAGAGTCACATAAGTTATAAGAGAAATAATCAATTAGAAAGAAGCCTAAAAGTAATCTGGAAAGGCATTCTTGATTTTATTAAGGAAGGTGACACATGCAAGAAAATGCATTAAATAGGTGATAGAAATCCTGACAAATTCCTCAGGTTTCCCTGTAGCATTAAGCAACTATTCTGAAGTGATGCTTTCCACACAAACACACCGATACATTTTCAAACGATCAAAACTAGCTAGGGAATTTAAAAGTGCAATGGGCTTGAATAGCTTGGTAATAGAATTTTAGCACTTTATTTAAATGCTATGTGCCTTCAAGGAACGGGAATTCAGTACATTCAATTTTTAAGAAATGTTAATTTTCACAGTAGAAAAACAGGGTTTAATTGCTGCAGCTGTGCAAGCATGACATAATTCCAAAAAGAGCGCCCTGAAATTAAGCCGTGAACAACATAACTTGTAAATAAACCCCTACAATCCCTTTGACAAGAGGTTTTCAGATATTCATCTGTGAAGAACCAACAGAATGTCATCACCTATTTTTATACAAGTAAATGTTAAGGATATAAGCATAAAAATATTTTCTTTTTCTCATACTCACTTTAGCAGCTCCAATGTAATTGTTCCCTTCGGGTAGATTGATCCATGAAAAATAAAGTCCTTATTGAGGCCTTCAGAATAAAATGCACTAATAGGTGGGTGGTGGCTGACTTGCTCAGCTATAAATCTAAAACCTAAATCCTCCCTTTACAAAACAACAAAAGAAAGAGCATTAAGTGGTTAATCAGCAATTTTTGTAACTTTACAGCAGAAAAAATTTAGTTGACACTGGGGGCAAAGGGGAACACCTTTTCTATTACATCCCAAAACAACCCACAATCAAAATACCTAAGTGACTTGTACCTAGAAAGGCATCTGAAGCTGTTTGAAATAACTGTTGGAAATTCTGAAGCTCCTTGGGCAGCATTAGTAGATCTGACTGGAAGTCATTTTCTCCACAGCATACATACACCACTCATTTAAGCAAGCTGAAAGTCTCTCAACCTAACTCCTGTATCCGACAGGATCAGCCAAACACTTTTCCAATTAGTTAGCCATTAGTATCTGATCCGGAGAAGTCTCTATCAAAAGAATACAGACCAATTTTTCCTCTGAATAACTCAAAAAAACACACTACCTAAAGGTACAAATAAAATTATTAGATTCATAATAACTTCTCAAAGATTTTGCGCTGGTCTGGGGAAAAAGACAGCTGCACTTCAGAAACATATTTCAACAGATTTTCATTTCACTACATAAACAACTAATCTGGCATCACAGTTTGCTAACACCACAAATAGTTTCCAATTTAAAGTAATTACCTTGTTAATTCATAGGTTTCTCCTAAAAGTGGGTTAAACGGTTTGCCAGTTCTCTCCCACTGAGAAGCTACAGCAGAAACTGCAAAAGCAGCTACAGCCTAGACGCAAGGAAGAATAAATTATGAGAACAGGACATCAACTTACAACTTTTGCCTATTATATGTAAAGTATTTTACTATTCATCCAAAACAAAGACACTATATATTGCTTAAAGTTAAAACATTTGTGAGCCACAGGATTTAAGTAATACAGAATTGGGGAAATATATGCAGTTAATAAGCATTTCATTTCCAAAAAGCAATCATTTTCTCTGGTAAATTTTGTCAGGGTGCACTCTGCCTCTCCGTTTACCTCTGTAAGTACAGCTCCTTTTTTTTAAAAAATCTGCTTTTCCTCTATTTTGACTGTCCCCTACGCTTGTTTACTGGAACACAGTCCTGCTTTTCTGAGTGTCAGGAAAGTATCATTTCTAATGCAGATGGGATGTTTCTGGAATCCTACTAGCAGGTACAAATGACACTTAGAAGCTCTCGCAGGCTGATAAGTAGGAGTATGTGTTATACAAGCACAGAATACAAGATGTACACTCCAATTTCTCTTTACTTAAATAGAGCTATGAGCAATACCACTACACCCTAACACACACTGGCCTGGTACCATCATGTCCAGTCCCTTACTGTGAGACTCGTCAGATATTACATTCTACCCCCAAGAACAATCTGCTTTGGAGAAGAATGGTAAAGTTTGTCTATGTTACAAAGTTTTCATCTGTTAATTTAAAAATCATGGAGCCACTCAACAAATCAATTTAGAGTAATTTAAAGGTAAGATCTCATCTTCACAACACACAAAAACAAGAAAGTTACAGTTAAAGCAGTACTGAAAAGGTCGAGGACCCTGGGCATGGTCAGTTGTGGCACTCCTGCACTAGACTTTCACCTCAGTATTTATGCACAGCATCAAGCATGAAAGTGATCCAAGTATCTGATACCATCCACTATGAAACAAGAAACTTGTCTAGAGAGGCCAACATGGTCGTTCTTATGATCAGCCCCAGAGAACGCAATGCACTCCATGAAAAATTGTCTTAAAGGAAAGATTCTGGGAGAGGAACACTTTCTGAACTAATCAGGAGGTGGAAGCTGTTACATACCTGCATTCTTTCCAGGGGATTTGCATGACTACAAGCCTTATTAATGAGGTATATATGTTCCATATACTCTGTTATCCGTTGAAGGAAACTCAATGGTTCATTGAAGACAATGGGCATCGTAATTTTAGACAGCTCCTAGACAACAGAATTAAAAGCTAGTTTCTTCGACACAACACTAAGTTATCAAATGACAAGAGCAAGAATTTTGAAAATTAGCTGTGTTTGAAAATAATTAGTTTAGCTGCAGCATTCTTCAAAGGACAAATGACAAGCCTACAGAATACCTCTAAGTATCTCAGCTGAAAGGCACTAGAAGCACTGCAGAACCCTTCAAAATTTGATCAAGCTAACCTAGCAAATTCAAGAAAAACTCTACCTTCTATTCTGTGTTCTACATAAAACAGAAAACGTTAAAATTTCTATCCTTAGCAGCAATGATGTTCCAACCTGTTCATTACAAGTATTTAAGCACCATGCATCCCTTTGAAATCCTCAAATATAAATTGACATAAAATCTATTTTACTGCTATGACCACAGATTCTGCACTGTTCTGCAGTACAAAGCATATCTGTTTCAAAGAAACAGTTACATAAAGAATAGGATTTAAATTGCTTTAAGAGATTTTAGTAGCTTTATTTAAGCCACCTGTTGTGTCCTGTAACAAAGATAAGAAAGTTTCTCATTCCGCATGTCAGTACCTCGCACAGATTCCCAATTCCTAAGCTCTTCTACTATATCCAAGCACATTTGGTTGATTATTTAAAAACGCACTCACAACCGAGCACTTCAAGCATTTACACAAGTGCTTACATCTTAGTGGAATGGAGAATCCCACCAGGTAAAGTTAACGCAATGTTTTCCTCACACTGTCACAGGTGGTGAGGAAAAAAATATCATCCCCAAGTGACGTAAATGGATTTGGTCCAAAGAAAGCATATCTAGTAGATATGTCACTCACTCTAACAAAAGGAATTTTGTCAGTACAGTTATACCATCTCCTAGATGATGCAAGTTAAGCTAGTGAAAGAGCTTGCTGAATTGTGTGTTGCATTCACAAAGGACTGTACTGGCAAACCTAGACTAGATATGAATGTAATTGCTTAACACTTCTAAAAGCAGCTACAGCAGCAAGGTACTCCAGCGCAGAACCTCATTTTCTTTGCTAGTAAGAATGAAATAGTGAAACATGAGGACCAAGTTCTGAAAGGATTAAAAGGAAAGGAGTAGTGAGGGCCAATTAAGATGCAAGCACCTGGGTCCTTTAACAAAGGCCAATGTAAAGGTCCATTTCTGATTCCAAGAATAAATCTTGTGACCCAATTACAACACACCATTAACAGCCCAAGCCTACACAACGGCCTCTGTCAGGAGAGATACTCACAGATCCCAAACTCTTCTATCCCCTAAACCAGAGGAAAGCAGTTTTTTTCTTGGGGTGTCATACTGTTTTTATTATTAGAAAAAAAAGCCTCAAATTACCTTTTGCTAAGTACAGAGTAAAAAAGTGAAAAATAGAAGGTTGTGTCAATCAAATCATACATAACTATATTTCTAAGGGCTTTAGGCTAGTACTTAAAAGTGAGCACAAGAAATGCCAATCGATGTGCTCCAACAGCCAAACCAAGTAAGGAAACAGTTTCATTCATTAAACAGATGCTGAGATTTAAAGACTTGCAGTTTACGATGATGCTCCTTCCAAATGGAAAATGCATCAGGTATGCTTCCGTATCCAGATTTTAAACAGTAAAATTAACCGGTTGAAGCTAGGATACCTAACAGTAGTGTAGTTCATCCAAATTAACTTACCAGTCCAATGCATTTTTTTAATATGCTCCACACACTAAAATCACTTCTAGAGAACATCGGGGCAGGCAATGATGTCCTGTAACAGGGAAAAAAATAACCACCATCACTATCAGTCCCTTAAATGAAGGGATATTTTCATTTGTAGGTCTTGAAGTACTTCACAAAAGCAGTAAAGAATTGCTCTATAACTGACAGAAGAGGCAGACAAATGAAATGCCTTTTGAGTTCCAGATGAACTCAAATGACTTCTTCCAATGATGAGAACCCTCAATGCCCCAAAAGATAGTGAGCCAGCATATACACATTTATTCTATGCACTATACAATACCATGCGTTTACCTGTGTCTCTTAATTCCATTTTCTTGAATCTCTGTCTCTCCATTATGTTTTCCAGTTCTATTGCTTTGGTGCGGATCTATATCAAGCATTTCCGCAACTTTATGATTTGCTTCTGAAAAGTCCCCCGAAGAATTGTCAGAATCAAAGCCTGTTTACAAAATAATAATGCGGCAATAGTTTTCCCAGGAACCTTATTATTCCATAGAGTGCTACTCACATTTTGTAAATCTCAGAATTACACTCGTATCAGGTTATTTTATTTCAAAAATATCAGAGAGAAGAAACTTTAAGTGACCCAATTTTCAAGAGTATTTAGAGCCAAGTATTGCATTAGAATCAAACATCCTCAACTAATTCTTCATGCTGCTGAATATAAAACCAATTTAGAATCTTGTAAGTTCTTCAATAGCTCCTAGTCAGATTAGGTATATTGTTCTCTTCTTCAGTGCTGCAGTGCAATTACAATAATTTTTTTTCACTTACATGGTTTTTCTCAAAGACTTTAAAAGATTTAACTTGCCTACTTATACTGCTAATAGATCAGGAGGAAAAAATACTATACATACGAAAAAGGGAAAGGGCCATATCATAATTCAGTGGCAAACAACCGGGATATTAGAGCAACAGAAGTTTAAGATACCTAATTTCTTTTATGCCATCCATTTGTACAAAGCACATAATACATTCCTAGCGGTTACAGCAGGAACCCGTGAAAACCAAGATGAATCATTCACTGAGCTCTGCAAGGGACCCAAAGCATGACCTGAAGTAAGTGGCTCCATTTCCTACAACTTAACTCCATCCACTTGCAAAGTGAAAAAACCCTCGGAAAAAAGCTATTGGAAATATTCTTACAGATAAACACTAGCGTTCACAATAAAAACACGCCTTGAACAGCTTTAACTATTAAAAAAGTTAAATCAACAGGAATCTACAGAAACACAAGCTTTTGTAATCAAACTACTAATTTTTCATTTAAAACATAGTGATGATTTATTTTTGCATACACTTTTAAAGAAGGAAATTGTAAAAAGATGTATGCATATATACACACACACACAGACACACATTTTCACGTCTAACGGACAACTGGACCCCGCGCATTGGAATTACTGACTGCAAGTGCAGATTCCTTAAACAACTTACATGCATTAAAAAAGGTGCAGTTTTGGATTCCTTTAAAAAATAAGTCTATGATCTAAGAAAAAAGAAACTTTCCACAAAAGAGTCCAAACACATCAGAGAAAAGTTTTCAACCATTGCACTTTCAGTGCTTGAGTACATACAACCCTGTTTTTGCATAATCACACAGATGCAACTCAGCCAGTAATAGCATTGCAAGATGACATCAAATAAGTATGACCTAATATTTCTACCTTGATATCCCTAGGAAAATTACTTAAAGCCCACTCTGAAAGAAAGGCTGCAATGCAACCTCATCCTTTATTACACAGAAATCAACATGAAACAAGCCCAGAACCAAAAAAAAAAAAAAAACCAACAACATAGCAAAACAAACTTCGTTTCTGGTTCTGAAGGCAGCAGAGCTAATTTGAAATCATTTTTGTAAAAGCTTCTCCAATCTGTTTAAGTAAAAATTAAAGCCTAATTAAAAATAAACACATTTCACACAAGTGTGAGCATAATAAAAAATATCCCCAATATAGTGCTTATATTTTATTAGAGCAATTCTAAGGCATTCATTCAGAATAAAAAAGCTGCATTTTTAGTAGGTATAAATAACCTTAGCGATAACCTTCAAACTGCAAAAGGAAGAATTACCGATATTATCTCATTTGGTAAATAGCAGGTATAAAGAGTGATGTAATGTATTAATCTCTCTCCTACATTTTAATGTCACAAGTGTATAATTATACAGTAATAACCACACCTTAGCAGGTCTTAGGACCTGATTGGAAAGTATGATAGTTATATATGTTCAGCTCATTAAAATGAGGACTACCCTGAAACACCTGTCTTAAAAAAAAAAAAAAAAAAACACACACACACACACAGACGCCTATCTTTAGTCAACCCACAACAAAAGAATATTTATCATTAAAAAATGGCATTTCTAATTTTATAGTAGCTTTTTTTGGTACCTGTTACGGTATGAGGAGATGGAAAAGGCAAGTACTGTATTGCATAACAATATAACTTATTAGTCTAACTGATGAAATGGGGAAAAAAACAGATGAGCTTTCAGGTATGTGTTCCCTCACCCAGGAAGCTGGTAAAACATACACAGCATAACATTTAACAGGCACTTAGAAAGAGCTAAACACACCTAAACATAAAAGGAAAGTTTCATAAAAGAAAAAGTCAACTGGCTTACAGGGGAATGGTTATGAAAAACATCACTGGAATTACAGCCTTTACACTGTGCATAGAACCTGACAAATTCTATGAAGTATCCACTGTTTTTATCTATACTATTCTTCCTTTTTCTCCATGATTCACAAGTGTTTTGCCCCATTCCTGTACATCATAATAGGAATTTAGATTTAGTGGTGCGTGTATGTGTGTGTATATATATATATATATATTTATATATTTACATACGTATATATAAATGGAAAACAGCATGTTATTGATGACTAAACAAATACCAGGTCTAACAAATTTGTCTTCAGTGTACAAGCAACAAAGACTAAAACCCTGCTCCATAACAAGTGGATATATCAGAAGTGTTAGTCCTCTTTGGTAGAGTACATCTTTACGTAGTAGTTTGTTTTTTTTTTTTAATTAGGGTGCAAAGCTATGTAATCACTAGACCTTCAACAGTTGTGACATCCATCTTTAAGTAACAGTAAACAATTTAGTAAGTTTTAAATGTTGCTTGTCAATAAAGTTCTAAGTACTATAGTTCTACAAAAAACTACCCAGAGGATGTTCTTCACAGGGGAACTGATGCAGAAGAAAAACCTAATGAAATGTTTTATTGCAGCTTTCCAAGTTATAAAAATTTCTCCAGCTATCACTAAAGCCTTGATCATGTAGAACTGAGTAGGTAAGTTCTACTCAGAGATCAGTTTTTGTCCTGGGAATAAGGACAAAAATGGGGATTTAAAAGACGGGGAACCACACACTGAAAGACACAGTGTTAACAATTAGCTAAATCAAAAGTCTCAACTGGTTTGTGTTAAGGGGGAAATGAAAGCTTTTAAAAGTCTTACGTTTTCAAAGTCATTCACAGAACACATACTTAAGTTGAGTAACAACATTAATCTATGTCAAGAGCTTAAAGAAAAGTGACTTGCCAGTAACTCTAGTTTTCATAGTCTTCTTCCTCATCCTCCAAATGAACTAAGTCCACTCAGACTATGTTACACATCCACCTACGAGGCACCGAGGAGGCACAGCGTTCTGAGTCATATATAAAGACACAGGACCGCCCCTTTCATACACTGTCATCAACTTCCTTCCTTAAATACTAGTTAAACCTTGTCAGTCATGACAGAAATGGAATCAAAATAGCATAGTACCCCAATCCTACAGACCTAGAAAGGGCAGGAAGATTAGGGATCAGTATGCAGGAAATGTAGATCACAAGGAAAATGAGAGAGAATTTTTTTTCTTTGCTCGAAATTACATTCTCCACTTTCCAGTAACGTCAGTCTTCACAACCCCTAGCTGTATCAAGCTATTTCCAACAGGAGGCAGGCTGACCTTTCACAAGTTTTGCAGTACTCGTACACCATGGCATAGTCTCCTGATTTAGTCAGATACAGACATCATGAAAATATGAATTTGGTAGCTGACACCTCACTTTTTCCTCTCCAAGAGGAAGGAATAGCTTACAGTGAACAACAACCAAGCAGTAGGAACCAGAAGAGCAACCTGTTCACAGATACATCAGGCCAGATTAACCTCATGGACACAGACAGGAGATTCCATGGAACTGCAGGTTAATATTCAAAAAAAAAAAAACCAAAACAATATTATAACTTTTGAAAAACAAGAAATTGTCCTGGTAATTAGCCAAGCATTTTGCTGTTCTGTGGGAATCCTTTCACAAAGTACTTTGGCAAAGAGATGTCTGACAGAACTAAAAAAAGATACAGTTCTAACACAATGGCATGCAGCCTCTAACAAGTCCACAATAAGATTAATAAACCCAGGGTGACACAGACCAGAAGCAACTGATCAAAGCTATGTGCCCCGCCTTGCATAATATTTTGAAAAATCTGAATTCTAAGAATTTACAAGATTACCTGACCTAGTCTCAGAGAAGACCTGAGAATTTGTGAATACAGTAGATGTGCTGTCAAGAACCAATTGACACTACAGATAAGATTTCCAATAGATTCCCAAGGTAAGTATTTATTCATGAAGTAAGATGTCATGTGTCCAACTAGTCAGCAAAGGTAATCACCTCTGAATGCAAAGAAATTTCTCTCCGTGGAAACTATTTACCATTTTCAAACTTAAGCAAAAGATTCATCACCTATATAACACGGTCCATCCTGCATATTTACAAGTGCAATCATCATCGAGTCAGAGTAAAATCATCTGCCAGGAAGATGTTTCCCAAGCACGCGGCATGCAATTCCATCACGTGAGCTTGTCTTTCAGATGTGATGGAGACAGCGTCAGAAGCCGAAAAATTAACTAAGAGATGAAATCTTTCCTGACATAAACCAAGTCTCCTTAGGAGAGACTCATGTCTTAGAAGTGGATGTCATCAAGTGGTAACTACAGAGAACAACTGGCTTCCTGAAGGAGTGAACTCATTCTTTAAATTGCAGAGTATCTCACTTGGTCTGCTGCTAAGATTGATGCAGAACTCTAAAGCGTAACTTCCCATGGAGTTCAACTGCCCTACAACCTAGGTACAGTCTTGTACACCCGCTTTGCTATTTGAAAGGGCCCAAAGAACAGTACAGCAAGTACTAATACCAGGGAACCTGTGGGAGCATGTTGCAGCTCCCTCTTTGGAAACCAGGACATAAGACTCTGGGGGAGTGAGAGCAGAATACTGTGTACACACTGTTTTCATCTCAACATGGAGCTAAGACAGCTGGAGAACGTGCTTGGCCGTGGTAGCTGTGTTCCAATCACAGATTTAGGGCAAAATAAGCACGTGTCTAAAGGTGACTTCTACAGGAAGGAGAGTATCCTTGGAAAGAACAGACTGAAGAGTCTGCCAAGGGCATTTCATTTTTAAGCAAGATTCGGAATCCCAAAACCTCATGTTTTCACTGTGGAACCTGTAAGTTCATGTTGCTTCAGAAAGGCCCTAAATTCTGAACTTAATCTCTTGGAAATACCAGGTCTACCTCTAGAATATCCAGATCATCCAAAAACGAAGAGAACAGGCACGATCAGGACTCACTGGAATCTAAAGAACTCAGCAAGGCACTGTGTAAAAGACACACAGTCCATAGCTAACAAGGTAAGAGTTACCACAGGCACCAACAGATGGGGGATATGAGTGTAGAAAGACTCACTCACAGTTCTACTTCACATCACATTTATGTATGACTTGGAGATGACACAGCTAAGAAACTAATTCTAGACTTCACTTGGTTTGTACAAGTAATCCATCAAACTGTCAGCATCTTCTAAAGCATCTAGCTGGAGGAACTCAGTGAGCATCTGCCTCTAAAGATGGTCTCGAGGGAGAAAGAATTTTAAACAAATTATTTGAAACTTAGCGCTCCACTTAAACAAAACACCTCCAGGGCAAGCTCCAGGGCAACAGATACAAGTGCAAAAAAGTTCAACTACGTTTAGTTCCTGGAGAAGTGCTGCTGACCAAACACCTTCAACCAGAAGAGAGCTGTGCTGAGAGCACATCAAGACACAGGATCTTCTTTTGCTTAGAACATTCTCTCTTCCCATCATATTCTTCCTTGTGAGCACAGAGCAAGGAGCGCTCTCAACACTGAAATGACATCCTGCTTCCAAGTGGAGCCAACAAAAATTGTAAGGCACATGAGCATCTTGCTCACAGTAGCTCAGAATCCTCAAGCTTGTAGGAAGGATCAACCTTCCGGAGTTGGGGAAAAGAGAAATAGAAGCGGGGGAGAATTGACTGCTCAAATACAAACGACTCACAGACTGACAGCTGTGCATTTCTACAGCAAGAGACAAAAGGAATGCATCCGCATCATCAAGGCTGTAAGACTTGGACCTTAAACTCACATACGTATTCCTGTTCACCTTTTAAGTGGAGTAATTTCCAGTTCATTCATGGGTGTGGTCCTGAGCTCCTGGAATCAAATGGTTATTAAAGATGTACCAGAAAAAGCCATGGGGTTTTCAAGGTTTTAACAGCACCACCATTTGGATTTTACAGAGGAACGTGGAGCACAAGCATGTCACCCCTAGCTAGCATGAATGCAATCCAAATCTTTTTCCTCTCACTGACGTATTTCTGAGAAGTCCTATAACAACATACTGTCAAATTGTCTCACCTGGCCCCCTCTGTTTACTCCTCAGAGGAATCTCAAACCAACCATCTCTGTAAGTCCACCTTACCTACTTGTATCGGCCATACTGCTTTTATTCCCTCAGTTTTAATGCTCCCCATTGTTCTCCTTCCATTCCCTTGATTCTAAGTTAAGGACTCTACGTGCACTGTTGCCAGTATTTCTCATTTCAGCTCTATTACAGGATTTCTACGGAGACATTTAAATAGAAGAATTTTAAGTTGTTCGGAAATTTTGAAAGGATTTCTTTTTTCATTAAAATAGTTAAAGCATTTCATTTCACCACTAAAACTATGCAAGACTCTCATAAATAACCACTCACCCTTATTAGTTCACAAAAAAAGTACTATTTGATACACTGCTCAAGTCTGAAGTGATTCATGTTTGCTTTGCTAGAGACAACACTGGATGGTAAAGACTTTTGGCTTCCTATCTTGAAAGCATACTTTCATAGCAATTTGTTTCTGACTAGGAAACGTTTTCTACCTCAGTTCTTGGGATAAGTTTTGCATTAAAATAAATAAAAATAACAATAACGGATATCTATGGAAGATGCTTCACTTTTCAAAGTGTTTGAACGGCATCACTTCTCAGGCTCCTATTAAATAGCCTATATTTTGCAGAAAATGAAAGCAAGATATTGGTGCTAAAGGACTAACCCTGCTAACAGTGATAAAGCAATAGCCAGCAATAAGCTTAAAAAAAAAAAAACCAAACACACACGCACAGTGAACTAGAATTATATTTCCTCCTTCTTCTGAAAAGAAAAAAAATTTACTACAAGTCATAGCTAGGGCATTTTATTTCTTATTTATTCTTAGTAGGAATGGATTCCTATCCCCTCAGCACACACACAACGCAGCCCGTAGTTTTTTTCAGCACTGTGCCCATCACTCACCCGTAACGGCATCATAAAATTCTTCTTCACTGTTCATCTTTCAGTATGAAGTCTCTGTACAGCCAGTCCAGCTTCCTCTAATGCATCGTTGAACTTGAGAGCACACAGATACTTAATTTTTAAATCAAGATCCTCGTTTGCAAATACCAAGCCGTTTTAGATGATCTATTTCACAAGACAGGGAAAAAAGAATTAACACCTTCTGCATTTCCTACATGCACACACATGCTCGCTTCACATTAATTTTCCCGTTTCTTGCCATGACAAAAGAAAGCCTGTGCACTTAGATCCTTGCATTCCTGGTAAATGGTAAATAGTCTTTAAAACCAAGTAATTATGAAGCTGATACTACCTACCACAAGAAAAAATGATGTATTGGGTCACACTTGTTTTCTGTGTTTAAGTAAATATATCATATACATTATTGTTAAATATATTCTGTTTACTGTAAGTTAAATTTCATGCAAGCAGCACAGGCATGGAGAGTTAAAAGGAGCAGAAATTAGAATAAGGAAAAAGGCAGCTGGTAAAGTAGAAGTTTCCCTCTTCAAGAGGCAGGGTAAACCTTACAGCATCCGTAACACAGAAACCTGAGAACAGGCAAGAGGGCGTTACATCCCAAAGTCTCACCGCTGCAGAAAAATATTGGGACTCATTCTACACCAGTAGAATGTAGTGAAACCAGTATCTAGTGAAATCTGGTCAGATCATTACAGAAGTTTTGTCAGGCTACTGCTATGAACTCTTGAAGAGACAACTGGAGAGTCTTCCCTCTAGAGGGAGGGTGTAAAAAAATACTTTTTCTCAGTAAAGCCACACACACTGCCAATAAGTTACAGATTTATGAAGCATTCCATCTCTGCTTTATGCACAGGCTAACTTAGATTTATTCCAGATGGTTGGCAATGATAGAATCTAAACATTTTAATTTCACCCAATTTTAGTCAAAGCAGAAGAACCAGAAAATCTAGTTTCCACTCTTACAAATGTTCAACAGGTACCAATAACCAGCCAAGTAGTGTTAAATGACAGCATGGCATGCTATCAATATTGCCTCCAAAACAACCTAAATCTGTCAGTCTCAATTTTCATGATCCTTGACAATCCCACTGCTTTTGTGTTAGCAGAGTTTTTCCGAAGTAATTATAACTTGCACAATTCCATTCCAATTAAGAGAAACAAAGCCAGAAGTGCACTCTACTCCTAGTCTCAGCTTGGCACACTTGAAGCCTATTCCTTCTCTTCCTCTCTGCAAGAAATCAAGTTGCATGATTCCCCCTGTACTTCAAGTCTTTTTATATCTCATTGCCCAGAAAGAAAACTATTTCAACACCTCATACACATACAGTCCTTCCAATTCTTCCTTCAGAAAGAAGAGCTAAAATAGCTTATCTATTTTATAGTTCCTCTAAGTTAATACTTCAAGGCAAACACTGCACTCATTGTGCCTGTCAAGGCCAGATTCTTCAGTTTGTCACTTGCTCTCTCAGGGCTTTTCCCTCAGGAACTCCCTATTTTGCATGCTGTCACAGGATTTTGTATCTGACTCTGCATCATGGCTCTGTATCTGAGCTTCCACAAAATCTTCAGTAATTTCTTATCTACAAGGCCACTAAGGACAAAACTATATGCAGCTGCTTCTCTTGACTGTTACTACATTGCTGCTGCAATCGCTCAGCTGAACGACAGTTTCCTTCTCTTTTTCCTGTGCTGTTCCACAGCGACAGACCTTTAAATCTTCTTCGACTTTCTTGCTTATCAGCAACAAGTTTCTGATTCAGATATGTCAAAGTATCACATTCTCCTAGGGAAGGATGCAATAGCTCAAAATACTGACAAGTCGGAAGCACGCATACTTGACCACTTTCAGTGAAAGTGTCTCTGCAAATATTCTGCTTGCAGAAGGCAAAGGAGTAGCAGCTTCACTTCAAAAAGACACAGGCAGTTCAGGCCACCAGTAACCACGGTGCTACAGAACCAGAGAAAGACAGAAACCCTCTTAACCAATTAACTGGTTCAAAAGTAGTAGCTAGCTCAGATTTCTGGATCAACTGAACAGGATGTTACACTGCATCTCAAAACAACAGTAAAATGAATTATGGTATTCTAAATGCCTACTTACATTAATGAACTTTACAGCCATAACTCACTACCAACAAATTAAATACTGGAAAGCCATAACTCACTACCAACAAACTAAATACTGGAATCTGTACTGTAAATACAAGTCAGTGTGCCTACCACTGTGTTCTCTAGCGTAGCGGAAGCTAGTCCTTGGCTTTGTAAAAAATGCTCACTCATACCAAAGCAGCTGACAATCACAAGAGTTTCTCTAGACTTTTCACCAGCAACGTATCTGCAAGTATCTCTTCCAAAGTCTCCAATTATATCCTATTTCATGAAAAAAAATCTGTCCTTGAGGAAGCAGCTACGTAAACCTTTGAACTTGGGGATGAGGAAAGACTCCCAAGAAAACAATTACTACAGAAAACAGGAACTCAACATCTCAGTACAACTGCTCACCAAGAAGCCATTATCACCATACCGAGATGGCTTCACCAGCTTTCCAAAAAAAGGAGTTACATTAGAGGGCTTCTTTACCTCTCCAAAAAACTACATCCTGGGAGATGCAAGACATTCATCATTTCATCTGTCCTCAAGTATTGCATCCTTCTAGCAAAACAGCAGCAAATTTTTCCGGAAGGAAACCTGTATACACACAATATGCGACCTTCTCAAGATCAGCACTACAGTTCTCTCATTTTCCCAATGCTTTCTTGTGTTTCTATTTTTATGTTAGGTCTTCATTTTTTTATTTAAGCTCTTGCAGCAGGACTATCTTATTGTTGCATACAGCTCATAGGGTGAGATTCTGGTCTGGAACAGTGATAGCTACCTGCAATACACTACAAAAAAAAACCAACACACACACACAAGCTAGTTTAAAGCCCACTATTATTCAGTTCAAATACAAAAAGCACATTTCTTCAGTTTGCCTATCCAAACACAACCATGTTACATATCAGCCCGCAAGCTCTACAGATCCTTGATAACAAGAACTCCAGTATGTTAGTCTTCCATAGAAGGCACTCAGGAATAAGAACTGTGACTTAGCAATGACAATAAGATAATTGACAATTTCCAAGAGCCGTATAGATGGATGCCAATTTCTCTTCCCCCTCCTCCTCATGATAATCATTGCATTACAAAAGGACTTGCAAAGCGGAACTGTATTATACAGCATACCATTCCACTACAAAGGCAGTCAAGATTTCCTATCAAAAAAAAAAAAACAGTCACCAAACACAATTGAAGTATCTGGAGTGAAAGGTTTCAGTTAACTAAGAGTTATGCTATTAATAAGTCCTCTTCATGATATGCACCTCACAGTACACTTTAAGCTCCTTGCTACTTCAAAATGAGAGTTCGGTCATATCCCTGTGAAGTTATAAACAAGCTTTGTAGCTATTACCTAAACAAAGAAATTAAGGTGCTAGGGGCATTTACAAAACGGTAAAGTAATATATTTTGCGTCAGAGTTGCACTACACCGTGACGGGAAAACCAGTCAGAATAGCTGATCTGCAATCAACTTTCTCAAAGCAACCTGGGAATAGTTTAACACTTGTACACTTCCTTTAAATTCAGCTCTCTATTTAGCAGAGATAGCATGAATTTACATGTATCAGAACACATACTGAGAGCAGTATTTGGCTCTCCTGAGCCAAAAGGCCACAATAAAGTAATTTTCTCTTATTAAAAGCAACAACAAAAAGTTACCTCAAACTACGCTGAAACGTCAGAATACAAAAACATCCTGTTTGCTTCATATTCAACATTTGTAATCTGCATTTCCCCTTACATTTCCATCATGTCCTGAGAAGAATTCACTTACACACTAGCAACTGCAGTTAACAGCTTTATCAAAATTACCATAGACACGTGCAAGGAAAGGATGCAATACTCCTGCGTAAGAAAGATCCAAGCCTAGGATCAATTCCCATCCTGGAAAATCTTTCATAAAGCATAAAAATTGCATCATGTTCACACCTTTAAGTCCTGTAACGTAGCTGAAACAAAGTATATTTAGATATTTTCTTACATTCCCAAGGAACACTCTGTATATACCACAATCATTTTTCCCTTTAGGACTTCACTTACACTCAGGAAATTAAGGTTCGAGAATGCTATTTTTAGCCATAGGTGTTTGCTGGTTTACAGATGAAAATTAGCTTACTGGGCTTCACTTTAAAACTCAGTGCTAACAGGCTGGGCCCGAGTACTTAAGGCAAAGATACTCAGAAAGATGGTTTGGTCCGGGGATTGTGGCTCAACTGTCTGTTGCCAATTTATGGCTAACGAGCGACTGTAAATAATTTATGCCATAAATAACAGGAAAAGCTGTAAGCAGAGAATTCTTAAGGGAACTAGAAATTTGTGATTTAATTTCTCCTGACTATAAACACCCCAAGTTTCAGGGTTTATAAGACAAATCACAAAGCTCATCTGTTTCCTCATATTTTAAAGCTATGGATTGGTATATACTAATTTTTATTTGTGTTTTGTGTGCACACACAAAAGTTGCCACATTTTATTTTTGTGTTTGTAACAGACTGATTTCCCCTCAGGAGAGATGATATTTTTAAAGTTCAAACTGAAAAACAGATACAACAAATTTAGAAAGTTATCATACCCATCACGACACTACAATTTTGTAATTGGTTAGGAAATCTGAACTGTAAACTATTCTCTTACATTTTGCTCTGATAAATTCTCCGTACCAAATCGTCAAGAACATTCACCAGACAATTCTACTCTTTGCAATTACATTTGAAGTGGGTGAAAAGGAATTAAGAGAAGACAAAGTTTAACATAATTTACTGAGGCAAATCTTTAAGAAGAAACTATTTTGGTAGGAGCTAGTTTTTCTCGTCATTTTTATCTATTTGCACGCAGACACCTACACTATACAAAACCAGACTAGCAAGAGTCAAGCTAAACATAGCATGGGAAGCCAAAAATTTGCAAGAGCTTCTCCTATCTTCTAATTAAAGAGCTACCATTTTGCTTCCTCTCAAATAAGCTTTGCACCTTGGCAACGTTGTAAAACCATCCACAAACACGTTAAACAAGATACTATGCTGTCCTATAACACAACTTAGAAAT